GTGTACAGATACAAACAGTCCTGATTAGGACAGAAGGGACTTGGAGGAAGGAGATGGCTCAAGATCATCAGTGGAGGCACGCTGCTTAAGGTCAAGAAACTCTTGTTTGGAAAAGGTCGTATAGTCACGAAGTGGTTAACCAACATCTTATTGTTGAATCTCGGTATGACTAATCTCCTCATTAGTCATAGCAGCATAGGCCTGAGTTGTATTGCGTTTAGGGCGTCCAATGAGCTACCAACATGTTCTTTGGTGTATCGGGATTTTCCAGAATGGGTGCATTTTAACTTATCCTTTTCATCAGTTGTGAAGCTCCTGCGACCACCACTATGACCTCCTCCATGACCACTATGATGATTATTAAAAGTATTGGAAATCAAGGTAGATCTTTTAGTTTGACCAATGGAACCAACCATAATTTTCTAGCGAGTTTCTTCATGTTGGAGGAGAGAAAAAAACCATTTCAAGTGATTTTTATGTTTCGCCATCCAAAATATTGGATTTGATGTTTTCATATTCGGGATTAAGCCTCCTAAAAGATTGAATATCTTCTTGTGTTCAACCCTTTCTCTATGCTCTTTTGCACAATAGGACTATTCTATAGGTTAGTACCGATTTAGCTCATCCTCAAGACCCCGAAAAGCAGCATAATAGCCACTAACTGATAAGTCGTTTTGTTTGAAATTTGCTGATATGTTGCTCCAACTCATAGAGTCTTGCTATATTCTTCTTTTGTGAGTTAGCTTAAGCCATTGCATCCCACAGTTCGTTGAAGTATTGCATCTGGTTGCATAGAGCTTAAATCTAGTTCACAATAATCATTTTGCAACTTCCCAGCCAACATAAAGAAGGCTCCATTACATCTGGGGTTACTCTCATCATTATCATCATCATCATCACCATCATCGTTAGAGCCTTTCCCGAACTAATTGGGGTCGGCTACACTAATCTTAGTCCGCCATTTTTCTCTTTTAGGGCCATACCTTGAATGAGGTTGTTCTCATATCTTTTCACACTACTTCCGACCATGTCCTTCGGGGCCTACCTTTACCCTTTTTGAGCCTTCCAATTGAACTAACTCGCACTTCCTAATAGGTTTTGTACTGCGCCTGTGCTACACATGGCCAACCTACCTAAGTCCACTTTCTTTCATCTTACCGATTATTGGTTCCACACCTAAATTCTTCCGAATGTATTCATTTCAAATTCGACCCTTCTTGTCTTGCCACTTATCCATCTCAACATCCTCATCTAAGCAATATTCATTCTATGAATATGTTGTTTCTTGGCCGCCCAACATTCCATCCCATAAAGCAAAGCTGGTCTCACAGCTGTCTTATAGAACTTACCCTTCAGCTTCATTGGTCTGCAGCGATCACGTAAAACTCTAGTTGCTCATCTCCACTTCACCCACCCAGCTCTAATTCCATGTGTGATATCTTTCTCAGTCTTGTAATTTTTCCTGGATTATCGACCCAAGATATCTGGTTTTACTATACGACCATCAATCGACCCAAGATATCTGGTTTTACTATACGACCATCAATAACTCAACTTTTTCTACCTCCACAAAATAACTTAATAGATCTGACCCATTCCATGTAGTTCGTACCATCAAATCTAATTGAAGTGATTTGGAGTCCAGAGTACTCCATACTTGATATTTGTTGTGACATTGTTCCTTTTTCTAGGCAGAAAACAAATCATAGAGTTGCTGAAATCTGGATACACCCTTAGATTTCTCTCTGAACACTTTCAGTAAACACCAAAGCATGTGACAATGCATTGGCCAGTAAATTATACACTCATGGCTGCAAATTTCATTTGTAAAATGGCTGCATGGCTAGTCAATACGCATCAAACAGCTGTTATCAATCCCTGATAAATAAATCTTGATAAATATATTTCACGTTTCTCTCAGGGAGGAACAAATTTATGCAACCTGATTGATCGTTGGATCTCCCATCAATGGAATACGAAAAAACCTAAATTTTGGGAAGAAACCCAAAAAAAATTGATAACTTTCACAAAAAAATCATATCAGAGAACAAATTCTAGAAATAGCACTTTCATTAAAAGAAAATGTGAAAGTATGTTCTAGCTAGGGAAGGAGCTAGCCATAACTCCATGGGGATTGTGGGCATCTTTTAGGCTTGCAACCTCCTTTTTCTCTCTTGATGCTGGTCTAGAGCAATTTTTAGGCCCATATTGGGTTTTTGTATCGAGTGCCCTTTTAATGGGTTGCCCATTTCGTATATGCTCTTGGTTGTACATTTTTTTGTAATTAATATAATACACAATTTATTAAAAAAAGAAGAAGTGAAAGTATGTTCTCACCATGATCTTGAAAAGAAAAAGCTTTGTTAGGGTTTCTTCTTGCTGAACATTCATCTATTGTCTGGTCGTATTGTTGAAACCAGCAGTTACATGGCCAGTGTTTCACTAGTCAACTCACTTCTTCAAAGACCTTGCTCTAATACCAAGTTCAAAACTAATCTGTAAGTATTTAATGGAGGAGAGGAATAAAATAAGAGGGAAGAATGACAGAGAGGAATAAAGAGAGAGAAGAGAGCGAGAGAGAGACGCGAGGCCACTTTTGGATTTGTCATGTTTATATTCAAAATTTACTGAAAATACACTTGTAAGTTCATAACTCACATATAATCCTATAAAATTAATTATTCCATTTATGCCTCTAACTGCTGTAATTTGACCGAGTGCAATATAGAATGAGGCCTTGCTTCATAAAGACCATCTATAGCCTAAAATCATATTTCTGGTTAGCCCTTGAAACTCCTATAAAACTTCTAAATTATTGCCTTACTTGTTAGACTCCATGCCATCGGTACCGGGATCTTCCAAGGAGGGGGTCGCTTCAGCTCTCTGAGATACGGGATCTCGATTCCGGGCGATTCCTTGATATGTGGGATCGCCATTCAGGAAATCAGGGAACTCGATCCCATCTAATGGGATCCATATCCCTATGCCAAAGATCATGGTTCCATGAGTAAGTGGTACTGCGATTCCACCAACTTGGAATCGAGTATCCTTTAATTTGCGAGTGAGTTTCACCGACACATTTTCTGGTTCATATACAACCAAGTGTGGACCTCCAATTTTTTATGACCTACAAACTTTCTGAACTCCATGATTTTCTACATATTTTACAATTCACAATTTTACACACCTTATGAATCGTGATTTATGCCTAGTTTCAAAGAAAGGCGACAAAATAGAGGACAAGGAGAGAAGCAAGATGGAAGAAGATACCAAAGTTAGTCGCGTTTGGTTCAATTGAAGAATGTCAGTATGCTCAACTTCCTTGGAGCTAGTTCACTGGTATTGAAGAATGTCAATATGCTCAACTTCCTTAGATCTAGGTCATCGGGTCTTGTCTACCTCCTGAAGGACTTCTATCGCTTGAGGGTTGGTTAACCAAATCAAGCCACTCATGAGATTGCCTTATGGGTGACAGAATAACCTGTATACATGGAAATGTGAGGTCTCTCTCATGTATATTATATGTTTTTGAACCCATAGCAATCTTTGTAAGAGAAGAGCTATTAGGAATTATATATGGCTATCTCTTTCATTTTTCTTACTTTGAAAAGGAGAACTTAACTATTGAGGCATTTCTTTTTTGAAAACAATCTATTAGAACATTCTTAAATTATCAATTCATATTCAAGTGGGAGTTGCCCAATCCAATTGATTGGTGCCAAAACTGAGGACGTGTGCGTTTTAGGCAGACCAATAGGTAGGTGTGCAATTTTTGTAATGGACCCACATGATTAATTTTTTATAGTGATTCATGCTTAAGTAACTGTTTTTATGACCCTCCATTCCCATTGTTAGCATGGAATTGAGGACTTAGGTATTACATCACCATATTGGATTGCTATTATCGTAATGTGTAAGATCATACTCCAATGACAACAAAATGATAAAGAGAATTTCAATGCCATGAATTTTTTTCACATTGATACTGGGTTTGTGAATTTGAAGAAAGTTAAAAATATTGTTCAATGGAATTCGCTCCCAAGTTACAATAAAGTTGATAAGTGAACTTTGGAAACCTTGATCTTTATCATGGAGGAAAGCGATCCCAATTAGTAAAGAATTCTTGTGAAGATATGGAACACGCTCCCTAAAGTCAGGGATCTCGATCCCTTTACTTGAGTATGTACAACCCTTGTTCCCCCAACCACGGATCTTCAAGCCTATCGCGCTCTGCGCTTCCGCTCCCGATCCCAAAGCTACTGTCGCTCCCATTCCCAGTAACTATGCTCCATACTCCTTGTATATTCCTCTTCCTTTTTAATCTCCCATTCCATCCTATGTATCCTAGAATCTATTTTTCTTGTTTAGATTGGTGATGGTCTAATGTTGTTATAACGGTCTATTGTTGAATAAAGATTCTTGTTGATTTTATTGAAAATGATTTGAAAATAGTATCTGAAAAATAGGGGTGGCAGTGGGCTAGGTGGCCTGGCCTGGCCCGATGATCCCGACCCTAGAAAACTAGGGCCCGGGCTACATTTTGTGGCTCGAGGGATGGGCCAGGGCAAACCAACCATGGTCCAGGGATAGGGCCAGGCCATGGCCGGCCTTGCTTAGCCCCCTCCTTTTCTTAGGTTCCTCGTATTATTATTTATATTTTATTTAGGCCCTCTCAGCCCGACCCAATCTCTTGATAGGGCTACGCTTGGGCCAGGGCTTCTTTAACCCGATCAGGGTTGGCTCGGGCCGCAGCAAGCCTTGGGCGGTCTAGGGCCGAGCTAGGGGCAAGGCTGCCCGGCATGTTGCCGGCCATACTGAAAAATATGAAATTAATCTAGATATTTGTGTAGCTACACTTTATATTGTTATTTTCTTTACATGAGCTCTAGTAATTGACAAAGCCCTGTACTAGTTTAATTTATTTACTTTAGAAATTGGGAGAGCAACATTTTATCCATGATATTGATTTTTATAAAAAAATTTATGCCATTGGATTTTAGATTCCTGGGCAAAGAGCTCTTGCGTTACAGCTTCTTGCTTCTGTTCTTGATCAAGCTTTACATGGCTTACTAGTACAAAATGATGGTGGGCGTGAAATTGGAAGGTCCAACTATCCAGATGAGTTAGTTGATTGGCAAGCTGTTTGGTCTTATGCCCTGGGTCCTGAACCTCAACTTGCTTTGTCTTTAAGGTATTTTTCGTGCCCTCATGTCCTATTTGCACTTAAACATCATTGATGCTTTTCACTTCTACATAAAAGTGCTTTTTTGTTGCCATGTCTAATTTAATAATCTTTTGATTTATTTATTTTTGGTCAATGATTAGAAAAAGCAAATGATAATCTTAGAAGAATTTCTTCTACATTTTGATCATTTCCGTTACAAGCGTGGCAATATAATAGAAATGATCAAAACTTAGAAGAATATAAAAATGCTAAGAAAAACACAGAAAATAATAGATAATACTAAATTTAAAGCATATACAATAAACTGGGGAAAAGAGAACATGAAAAAGATATCTTCGAACTAGCAAAAATGAGAGAGAGGAAGTGTAAGGATCTAGATCATATTAAATACATTAAGAGTGAGGATCAGAAGGTCTTGGTGAATGATGATGAGGCCAACAAAAGGCAGAGAATTGCAGGATAAAAAAAAAAAACATAAGGTGGAGAATTTATTTTAAAAAATTGTTAAATGATGAGCACACATCATTAGGAGGAACTTTTGACATAAATGAGGGTGGAGGTCATAAATACATTCGCAGGATTAGGAAATCTGAAATTAAAGAAGCTTTGAGAAAGATGAAGATAAGAAAGGCTTTAGGACCGGATGGTATTCAAATAGAGGTTTGGAAGCACATGGGGGAGATTGCATATGGTGGCTAACCAAGTTGTTTAAAGAAAATGGCAAACGAATGAAGAAAACTTACTATGATATCGATTTAAGAACAAATGAGACATATAGAATTGTACGAATTATCGAGGGATTAAACTTATGAGTCACATTATGAAGCTGCGTGAGAGAGTAATTGAGCAACAACCAAGGCTTGAAACAAGCGTATCAAAAATCATTTTGGTTTTATACTAGGGAAGTCGACAACTGAGGCCATTTTCCTATTTAGGCAACTGATTAAAAAGTTTAGGGAGAAGGGGAAAAGACCTCCATATGACATTTATTGATTTAGAGAAAGCATACGATTGGGTACCTAGAAACTTAATTTGTGGTGTTGGAAAAGAAAGGAGTCTTGAGAGGCTTATATTGACATGGTGAAAGATATCTACGACTAAGCGTTAACTAGTGTAAGGACAACTAGTAGAGTGACAATTGAGTTTTTAGTCACAATCGGCCTACATCAGGGGTTAGTGTTGAGCCCATATTTTTTTGTTTTGGTTATGGACAAGTTAACTAGATACCTATAAGATGAGGTAACGTGGTGTATGTTGTTCGCAGATGACAGATTTGATTGATGAGACTAAACGCATCACGCAAAGTTAGAACTTTGGAGAGATGCTCTAGAATCTAAAGGCTTTAAAATTAGCCGGACTAAGGCAGAATATATGGAATACAACTTTAGCAATAATAAGAGTAAAAACGAAGAAATAGTTAAGATTGATGGCTACGAAAGACCAAAAATAGATTATTTTTGATATTTTGGGTTGATAATCTAGAAGAATGGAGAGATTGAGGAAGATGTCGTGCATAGAATTAGAGTTTGGTGGGCGAAGTGGAGATGTGTATCCAGAGTTTTTTGTGCCAATGAATCTGAAGGGGAGGTTCTTTGGGACAACTGTATGACCAGCCATGCCTTGTGGAGCAGAGTGTTGGGCGGTTAAGGAACAATATACCCATAGGATGAATATAATAGTGATGAGGATGTTGAGATGGATGAGTAGCAAGACAAGAAATGATATGTTTTGGAATGAATACATTCGAAGGAATTTAGGTGTGGCTTTAATAGGCGGTAAGATGAGGGAAAGTAGACTTATGTGGGTTGGCCATATGCAGCGTAGGCCTAATACAGTACCAGTTAGGAGGTGAAATTTGATTCAGGTGGAAGGCCCAAAAGGACATGGATGGAAGTAGTGAGAAAAGATATTGTGACTTATGGTCTTACTGAGGGTATGGACCTTGACAGAGCTGAATGGCGAAGCAACATTCTTGTAGCTGACCCCAAATAGTTGGTTTAAGGCTCGGATGATGATGATGATGATTGAAAAAAAGAAATGATTTGCTTCGATTGAGAATCTTTCACTTCACATATGTTTTTTTTGATGAAGGTTAACTTATATATTCACTTCACATATGTTTAAGAACATAATGAAGGGGAAATATTGTATGGAACCCTTAAAATTCATTTGATTTTATTAGTAGCTCCTATCGTGTGACATCAAAACCTAGAAATATCTATCACCCCACCCCTTGCTAATGTCTCTTCCCTTCTTATTTTTACCTCAATAAGTGCCCTGAACAATAATTACATTCTTTTCGAAGTTCTCTAGCTTGTCCCTCTTTTACAACCCTCTCTCTTCTCATTTCTCTCCCAGTAGACCTCCTCTTTCTTTTTTCATATCTCTCACTTCTCTTGCCCACGTTGAGAGAGAGAGAGAGAGAGAGAGAGAGGAGGAGAGAGAGAGAGACGACACGTACGGCGATAGAGGAAGGAAGGAAGTAAAGGTAAGGGTAACGGTACTAGTAACGAAGAGTAGTAGTAAGGAAAGTAGGTTAAGGTAACGAAAGGGTAGGGTAG